CGGGGGCTGCTGGGGTGTACGGGTGTCGGGCTCACGTGGGTTTTCCCCAATTTCCATCTTCAGCCCGTTTTGGTCCCTTCCCACAAACTCCAATCCCCCCCCCTCAATTTGGTGGTTTTTTTCCGGGTGGCCCTCATAGCTTCCATCCCACGTCCGGGGGGAAACAATTTGGTGAAAGTGTTTCGTGGGACGAGGAAGGGCCCAAGGAAAGTTCTTTCGGGGGGGGGGGGGGGGGGGGGGGCGTGGTGCCAACGTCCCGGTATCTGAACCCGACAGCCCCGAAACTCCTCCCAACCAAGTCCTGCCGCCTTCAAGCCATTTGATCGCAACGATTCCCAAACGAAAGATGTCGCAACAAGTACAACCTACCCCCTTCTGGTGTTCTTTGCAAGCGCTGATATTTTCGTCTCGCTCTCAACACTACAGCGTCAACTGGTCGGTGTCACACCGTCAACCGAGCGTAGGCAAACCAACGCCCGGCGGCATGCATCCCTTGGGGGTACTTGCTCTTGGTTTTGGGTTGCATGCGCTGCCGTTGGGGCCTTGCCTAGGTTCGCTTTCTCGATGGATTGTTTCTTGTTCCGTTCTCTCTCATGTACTCTGTAATCCCCTTCGCTTTCGTTCGCTCACCGTGTCAACCTCGCCTGCGCCGGTAAAGTTCCTCCCAAGATTTCGGTCGGGCCAACTAGCATTATTTCCTTCTCTTCCGTCATTTTTTTGTCTTGCGTGTTCTCCCCACGTCGTCTGTGGGGCCAACCTTTCGATAATATTTCCTTCTCTTGGTAATTTTTCTTCTCTTTCATCTTCCCTCGCTTGGCCTCGTGGGTTGTCTGTCGGGCCAACCTTTCCATATTATTTCCTTCTCTTGGTCATTTTGTGCCCTTTCGTGTCCCCCCGCTTAGTCCTCGTGGGTATTAGATATGTAACTCACCGATGCCGGTGTCGCTCCATCACCTCGGACACGTCCCCGTAAAGCTTTGCCGACACCGAAGACTCGCCGCTCGAGAAAGCTCTGATGATCGTCTTGCGCTGACCTAGCCGCATCGTTGCCCCCATCACTGAAACGGTCACAAGCCAACGGTGTAGGAAAAGGAGTTTTTTCTTCGTGATGGGTTGGACACTTCCAGCCGATGCATCGCAACTCAAAGCCAGGGTTCAAAGGGGTCCTGCCCGTTCATCTCCCCCACAGTTCCTTTCCGCACGAACGGAGGCCACGAAGCTGCGACCTGTCTGCCCCCCCCTGCCTCGTCTGGGTGACTACCCGTGTCCCTAGCCCCCATCACCCTCAGCACTGTTCAGTCTCTCCTCTCTGTCAGTATCTCCTTCTCTCTCGTTCTCTCTGTCTTTGCCTCGTCAGTGTGGTGTATCCGCGTCTCTAACGCCCCCGCCCCCATCACCCTCAACATGTCGTAGTCTCTTCCCTCCATCAGCACCCCCTCCCTCAGCATTTCGTGTAGTCTCTCCCCTCCATCAGTACACATATCCCCGTCTCTCTCTCAACCCTCTCAAGGGCCGCCCCTGTGTTGGTATATCCCTGCCTCACAGTCCCTCTCTGTACGTCCACGAAACCCCCTCTCGGCCTTGCCGTGCACCGTCAGACAACGAACAACAAACCATCAAAAATCGAGACATGACACCACACCACACCACACCACACCACACCTTTCTTGTCGACCTCCGGCATGAAGATCACCACGGGGTGCGGCGTGTCCTCGTCGCACT